TTGGTTAGCGAATCGCATGAGCGCTAGAACAGGTATACGATAACACGGACTACCAGTAACATCTAAATATTGTTGTTCGTGCCGGAGGCAAAACTTTTTCCACAATACCAAAAAATGGCTTCAGTTAGAAGGAGTTTTTCACGAGCATTGTAGTTTCATTTGCAGAATAAAACAAAATTTTCGTGTGAGCGAGACGGGTTGCTGATCAGTTACATACATTCGAGCGCAAACTTGGCAACCTATGTATAATTTTTATTGTCCCCCGGTTAACAATTTGGATAGACTCTAGGACGCTGCTTGAACGACTTCTAGCTGGCTACCGACCAACTTCAGCTAGAAGTAACACTCACAATTGGAGTGTGGTCACCTCTCTTGTTGAAACTAGGTTCCAGATGCACTAACAGCTGTCTCTTTAGCCTAGCCCACCTAACCTGGTGACCAGCCTGCTCTTAACACCGTCCTAACTAGAGAAGCAAGAATATACCTCTAATGACTGCGCAAAGTCATTGTCAGTGTAGTTGAAGATTGAACTATCAATTCATGGTTGTTCTCTCAAAACCAACTTCCCCAATTTTCGCGGAGGCATCAATACGACAGTCATCGTCTCATCGGTCGCTGTTCAGAAAGAAGTGCGGATACAACTGTCAGAAGTAATATTGTGATTTATTATTGTAATATTTGTTCACAGACCTTAGTTGTAACATAGATTTTATGTTGGTGTTACAATAAAGAATCCTCGAGTCGCCAATTGGTGTTTTGGCTTTTGCGTCCGTTATTACTAAGCGTTTCTGAGAAACTTCAAGGAACAGAGTGAGCCCGAGTGCAGCAAGAACTGGGCATTAACGGTTTACGAGACGTGGCTGGCAGGCGCAGTTGATAGAGATGACAGGAATAGCTTACGGAGATACACAACACGGCACAATGGCCTCACTGAGCTCTTTTCTCTGAAAGGTTACTTTGGCCACCATGTGTTTCGGTCCGCATGAATGAAAGAATTGATCGCCAATAGTGAAACGACTGAGGTTCAGTTGAGTTGACGAACTTCGTTGACCCCTTACGATTTCACTTCTACTTTATCTCCTACCACAGATACATGCTTATATGTCATATCTTCTCATTGCAGTTTCGGCAGTTTTCTTAACTTCGAACATCGCTTGAAAATTCTGCGTCCCCGGGTTTATTTTTCCTTTCATCGAAAGAAGACAAATTGGCTGATTTTCTTCCCGAATATTTTCGTCATCCCGCACCATTCCGTCTCTCCAAATTCAACGAAGAATAGGCTTTTTACATCTTTGTTGTGCCTTTAAGTTTTTGGAGCGATTGAAATAATTTTCCGGAGTAGGGTTGCAAGCCTTACGATCAGTCTTTATTTTTAACCGGTATCGGACTGTCTGATGAGCTAGTGAATTAGAAGCTGTAGCCATAGCCTAAAATGATATAGATAAATATTAATAAATGTATCTATCACTTCCACATTAGGCCCAACTGAACGCCTATAAAACTAATTCATGTTCGCTCACAGAAATTAAGTTGACTCATGCATGTTGAATATTTCCCATCGCATTACTGAACATCGCTTTTCACTTGTTATAGACATATATTTTACGCAGTTATGCACTTTTTTGTTCACCTCAAGGATTTTGAAATTTTATTTCGTTAACAATAAATCTTTTCAAGTTTTTACCTGTGCTTCTTAATACAATGTTGTTCTCCATTAACTGTGTACAGCGCTAGCACATAGTAGAACATGAAAACGTGGATGCACCATAGTTTCATAATCGGAATTTTCATAGGTTCACAATAAGTATAAATTGTTTGGAAATGAACTCAATACATTGGGGTGTTTAGTAATTCTTAGCGTACTAACGAAATAAGAAGTATGAATACAAATACCAATTCGCCAAACAGCTGTAGTTTCCAACACCCGGTATCCACTGCTTTCCTAAGAGCTAGTAAAATACAAGTTGGTTTATTTGTGCTCGCATTTCCAGAACAATCGGACACACTATCCATTCCGTCTGAATAGCTCTCAGACATGAGGGACGCATGCTACCCAGGCCCGCATGGACTGTTTTGCGATGGAAAAGATAGCGTTGAAGAGTGCCAGATGCTTCCGCAAAGTCTAGGGAGATCATATGGATTGGAACATTCATGTCCTACTGTGATGTCGAGCCACTCCATGCTAATGACTGGTTTGTTGCGCAGGATCTACCACTGCCGAAACCATGTTTAGATCCATGTTGTGTTGTTATTGCTAAGATGTTGCCTGATCTGGCTATCGGTCAGGCCTTCCAACACTTTCGACACGAATAGAAGTTGCAGCAATTACCTACGACTTATTGCGTTCTTGCACCTCCATCCATGGAGATAGGAGGACGGCTGGCTCTCCCCATTCCCTTAGCAGCTTCACTAAACAGGTCACACAAGGGCCTACAAGAAGCCTCCGCACACTATTTAATGGTCGAATATTGTCACAGATTGGGTACCATTCTGGTATGTTATGGCGGCTTCGCTGGGACCATTGTGGGGTTAATTGGAAGTGTATCCACTGAGTTCTTGCCTGGTTATTTGGCCCTGCAGCCCTTGTGGCCTAAATAATAGTACGCACAGTGTTAATTAGCTGCCTGCCAAAAGCAGAATTAGATGTCTCAGACAGTAAATATTGACAGCTGAGATCCCATCAGTGAGTAACCCCGGTTAGTAAGTTTTCTTTCCTACATGAATCGACATGGGCTTACGGCAATTGCCGAGAGCTTTCTAACAACGTCCACCTGAAACGATCTTTTGTCATCCAAGGTCCTCATGCTTAGTCGGCTCCTGAGCCCTAAGTATGCTTCATGGTCAGCCAGAATCTTGAGGAGTTGCCATCTAGATCAAGATTCTCGTTTGGCTCGCGGAATACTCTGACCAACTCTCTTCAAACACAAGGATAGCTCCTTAGATCCCACTGTGACTAGAAGGAATGTATTAGTGATCGCTGGGCGAATTATCCGTTTTACATCTTTCCAACTCTCCCAACTGGTAGTCTGGCTCAAAGTGTGTGTCACTCTGTGTCGGAAAAAAGCTTTCGCATTTTGACGTGACCAGTTTTGCTACATCACAGATAGGGTCATGTAACATCTCGCTGTAAGCTCTCCTTTAAAACCGGATTAAACTCTATGACTGCATGGTCACTGCTCCTAGAGAAGCCTTGATCTGAACTTTGCCCACTGGTTACTGATCACTAGTTAGCACACAGTCGAGTTTCGACAACTTTCCACCAGAGACTCACATATTGTTGTCTCCTGCGTTCTCAGTCGATCCTGCATTTCTGATGGCGTGCAGCTGGTTTCGAATTAATTTCCTCGTTTCTGAGTCAGGGGATGGAATATTGAAGTCTTCAGCTGTAAGAATTTGATTACAGCTCGAGTTCCGTATCTCCGTGATGGTGCTGGTGAGTAACTGGTTATCTTCTACTCCGCAGGATGGTAGTTGATGGATGCACCGAGCTAACCAAGCTCGGATGGAATTGGTCACTTATCCCTTTTTCCTCAGGTTCAGTCTAAATCCATTGCTGTCATCCCAGAGTCGCCCCATTGTAGTGTAATCAAGGCATGAGGACGCAGTGTAACCTCACTTCTCTTTCCTAGGTCGATGTATACAGCACCGATTATGTCCCATGGCTTTATCCTGGGTCTCGCAACGTTAATGGAGGACTGTAACCAATTTCTCCCCAGAGATGGTTGATGCGAGGTGAGTAGAACGGAATGGTCAATAGATGAAGAACGCACCATAACCATTAAGGGTCATCTGGGAGGATAGCCGCCTCAATCACTGGACATCACGCTTGTGTTTTTCGCAATGAATGACTGTCTCCGGCTCCAGAAAACCGTACATTGGTCCTAACGGTCGCTCACCATCTGCTTGACTGACCATGACGAGCCAAGTCGTTACGAATATTGAGATTTCTCCACAAACCATGGGCTTGGGAGAGAAACAACATTTTCTGAACGTCTTCAATAGGGCTCAGTGCTGCCTTTGGTGGGCGTGGTTTGCCTACTGATGCCTTAGTACAGTCTACACAGCTTAACCCATTGGTTGTTAAGCCTTAGTTTTTTGTACTGCTCATGATCAAAATGTCCTGTTTGTTAAAGTAGACTGGTGAGGCACAATAGTATGTTGAGCAGGATGAGGTAGTTTGATCAGCTAAACTCAGACTTAAGATCAGTCCTTGGTTGCCTGTTTTTTCTTCTAGGGTCAGCAAAGTTGGCCTTCTTCAGGTTATTTCTATTCTGTGGCGCACTGCCGAAACCATATCTACTAGTGAATTCAGATGGTTTTTCGCCGTACTAGAATTACCTGCTGTTTTTTCTTTAGTGTTTGTAGGGCTAATTCTTGCAAAACCTGTATCAGGAGTAACTCACTGTGCCCCCAGTTTCATTGGATCTGTGCCCTTAATCAGGTGGGCCTGAGTATCTTGTTTAGGGATTTCGGCCGTCTTAAATAGTGCTCTGTCTGTGTCTTCCGATGAGACATCTCATGAGACTTGATCGATCAAAATAGTAAGCCTATATGGCGCTGAAGAGGGTGGAAATTGTTTCGCATAATTCATAATGGAATTTCAGCACTCTGTCACAACGGCCTATAAGACTTAAATGATCCTGACCGAGTAGTAGTAGTAGCGTCACAACTCTTTCGCAAAATGCTGTTAGAGGGCTTCCCATTATCGTATGGTACAGAAAGAAGTAAACTTGTTTTGTGGCACTTCACGATAGGTGAAGACTTTACTGTTAATAATCTCTTTATTTGCAGGGCTGAGGAGTCTGAATGTAAATCAACAACCTTTACAAAAAATGACGTATGTTGAGGAGGATAGGGGTTGTGGCTTCCACCATGATGACTCACAAGAAACAGCTATATCTTCAAGCTGAATCTTATATTGCTAAGGTTAACACGGCGTACTCAGCTTACTCATAAATTATTTTGATCGTATAGTGATTTGTTTAAGCCCTATCTCAATACATTTTGTGTTTCATTTTTCTGAATCGTAAATTTCTTTCAAATATTAACAATAATTTGATGTGAAGGATTTAATTTATGCATCTTTACTGTGGGAAGATTGTAACAATTGCCTGTTATATTTTTAATTGAACATGTGTCATCACCACTATCGGCTCTGCCACAAGGCGGCACACGTAAATTAGGCATGGCTCCGAAGGCTGCACCCTCAAAGCAGGAGAAGAAAGCGAAAGATCGGTCTAAGAAGTCAAAGGATGATAAAAATGCTTCGAAAAAAGCACAAAAACCCTCAAAATCACTTAGTGCTCTGAAGGGTGTTAAAGGCGGAAAGGTTGTTAAGGCTGGAAACAAAAGTAAGTTGTTTGTGAACTCTGTCTGCACTTTTTTCACGGATCATTTGAGAACGCTGAATTTTCCTTATTGGTTCTAAACGCTTTATCTTCCTGTCTTAAGAGTCGGCAGCTGCCCAAAAAGCTCTCAAAGCACAACGTGCTATAACTCTTGGTACACACACGAAGGGCAAGAAGAAAGTGATGTATACCACAAGGTTCAGGCGTCCAAAAACCTACAAACCACCGCGGTGCCCAAAGGACAGACGATTTTTGATTCCTAAACGTAACAAGTAAGTATCTATTCCTGCTTCATATATCCCGTCTAGACTTGATGCCTTCCGCATTATTCAACATCCAGTAACAACAGAAGCTGCAATGAAAAAGATTGAAGACAATGACACTTTGGTGTTCATTGTTGACAGGCGAGCCAACAAGCCAGCTATCAAAGCTGCTGTTCAAGAACTTTATAACATCAAAGTTGCCAAGGTCAATACGCTTAACTGTCCTGGCAATATCAAGAAAGCTTACGTTAAACTTCCTCCAGATTTTGACGCTTTGGATGTAGCCAACAGAATTGGAATAATATAAATTGTAAATATATATGTACTGGACTGGCATATTGTGTTATATGAAAATTGATCATTTCCCCACGTAAGGTGTCAGTGCGGTGGCAAAACTCGAGTACTTTTATTACATGTCGCAGCTCTGGGCTTGTCATCTATTGTAAAGTTTTCATCACAATTTGGAGAACATGAAAGCATTCAATTTGACTTTGTTATCATCATTTTAGAAACGGGAAATGTTATGCACGGTAATGTTGCATAAATGCCTTCAGTATCATTTGAGCCTGTTTTGCACTTATTCGTTGCTCACACTAAATTCAGTAAAGCAGTGGCAATAAATTCTATCCACTTACTGCGTCATAGAATTATGCCCTTATGCAAGTCTGTGTGGAGTTAGGCAGCGCTTTTCATTGTTCAAATATACATTGACTTCGTGTCATGAGGATCCATTGCATCTCGTTATATATGCTGGGAACTCGGTGATAATTTCTATGAGTTAATCAGTTCCGCATTATTGAGTAAGATCTTTCATTCATCTCACTAATGTTCTTGTAATGTGGACTGCACTTTATCGGCCTAAGGCTCCTATAGGAGTCAACGGTATTCGTGTGGTTTCACCATGGTGGTTGTTATTAAGTCCTTGGTCATTTCTCGGAGTTCACCTTATCAACTTATAATGATAGTTGCTCCTACTCATCTGTATCGCTGATACTTAGATGCTTATAGTAATGTTTGTTCTAGCCGAAATCAATATGGTATTTGGTGGTGAAATTGAAGTGTTTTATGTATCTCGAAACCCCGTTTTGCGATATACTAATTACCTTGTATTTTTATAGTTCCTACTACACAGCCATGATCCAAGGGAAACCAGCTTCGATATTCATCAGTTGCTAATAATAATGGAACTTACACTGACATCATGTCCATTTCTGGGTTTGAATAACGGCGTAATGACCTTTCAGGTGAGCATTCCTCACTTACCTAAGGTTACTAAGTGATAATTAGCAACATCCGGAGTCGATGGGAACGCTCTTATTGCTCTAAACTTGGAGTGGGCTTCACTGCGGATCTGGGTATATATTTCAACAGAATACGCTATAGTATGTGATGGGTCAGTTTTGTTGACAACTAGTCATAAACCTTGAAGTGTGACGAACATGTCATAATACACCATTCGTGTCAGGTGAATTTCATTTCCTGCTACTAACTAAAGCTACGTTTGCCCATCGATTTTGGTTAGCAGTATGTTCATTTTCGATAGCTAGTTGGTACGTTTGTTAATTATGGGTTGTTTGTCATCCAAGTTATATTATAGTCAGTTGCTGTACTAATTTTTCCGCCTGGCTTATCTTCATTGTAACACTTGGACTCAATTTTTTAAAGAATTTTCTCTGTGATTTTAGATTTCGTTGGGGGAATTATTTCTAGACGTTGTGTTACTAGTTTTGAGAAATTACCACATACTTTGATTGAGAAAGCTGGTCTCACAAGTTACGTTGTTCTTCTGGTCTAACATTTGAAAGAACTGCACTGTGTTAGCCACTTGCATCGGTATTGCTATAAATAGTTAGCTCTCAAAAGGAGCTTTTCCTGGGCTAAATGGTTAGTATGCTACGCTTATTAAACAGTAACTAACTCTTCAACCCAATGGAAAGGTCGTTCATCTAGAACTAAATGAAATTATTTTCCGACTCTGAATAAAGCATGACTAATCTAAAAAAATGACAGGCTACCAAAAACAAAGTACATCTGAGATGGTTACTAGGAGAAAAAAGCTATAAACAAAAGAAAATAAGAACGTGTGGTAGGCGCAAGATTGCATTCCACCACAGAATGATAATATCCTTTGGAGGAGATCTTAATCAAGTTAACGTTCCGAATAAAACAATTCAGATCTAACCTGAAACTCATTCTTCAGATTTCTGGCTTGACTACTTGGTAATGCTTTGTCGTATCTTGGTTATGTTTATCTAAATACTAAAATGGTCGTAGTTCTTGATGTCTGGTGGCCTCTCAGCTAATTTTATCGCATGATTAACATTACCGAGAGCTCGCAGTAGTATGCAGAGGCTACTTGAAATACATCTCGCTTTGTTATTTTACCGATTCTCCAGTAAGGTCTGCAACTCTTAGATCTCTGTTACTCAAAAGAAATTTTCAATGTTTATCATAACACCAAATAGGCTAGAGCAGGAGAATTGGGGTCGATTGACTAAAGTGTATAAGCCAAGATTATTTTGGGTAGGAGGCTGAACTTGCCGTTGAATACACGCTATTCTTAATGAATAGATAAATTTCTTCGAAAACGTAACCAATAATGCTGTTCACTTTTACAGTCCTATGTGCTAGACTTTGGGCTAAGCTTGATGTGTAAGAGCCTACGATGATTGGCTTCACTGGGGTGATGAACTTAGGATCTGTAACCCATAAAGCTGGAAGTTTTGTGCTTAGTCTAATGTTCCGCTCCATCATACCTAAAACATCACTGAATGTTTTTTGAATAGTTGCCGAGAGGATGAATAAATGCTAGGAGATGGACTGTAAATTATTATCTGTTCAGGGAAACCGCTTTCAAAATTCGTATCCGATGAGACATTGTTTCCAGCTTTAAGTGGTGTCAATATGATTTTTCAATAAGTTAACACTTGTTTTATATCAAGTTAGTGATAAAATGAGTAGCAGTCTACTCCTTGTTCTTCATATTGTAAACGTAATCTCATTCGCGGAAACAAACTCTTTTTTATACAATAAAATAATATTCATTTCGAAATATTATCGTCTAAACTAAACCCACAATATGCATCATCAATAGAATTTGTCAGTTTGCAGCTAGGTCTTCTAATAACCACAGATGACAGGCTTATACTTCGAATATCATTCAGTAAATAATGCAGTATATCTCATCTGAATAAGAAATTTCATGTATTGGTTTTTGTAGGGATTTTGTTTGATTGCATGGAGGATTTAATCATGAGCTGACATCAGTTAGAGAACCACTGGAAAACCTGGGAGTACTGGACAGCCGTTTCGTCCTAGTTTGGGACTCCTCAGCAGTACGCACCCATCCGGGATTCGAACCCAGGACCTTCTGGTTACAAGGCGAGCTCGTAGACCATTGAGCCACTGGGACCCGATCCAATGGTCCTTGAATTCTAACTTCTGCCAGTTCACGACATAGCGCGACCACTTCGCAATGTCTTCTTCGATGAGTTACTGCCTCATCTTCGACCTGCTGTACCCTACTGGTCACGGATTCCCACTAGAACCCCAGGTTAACTGCCTGAATAGGGCCAGTCACTAGTGAGCATCAGATGAATTTTCAAGTATTGGTTTTTGTAGGGATTTTGTTTGATTGCATGGAGGATTTAATCATGAGCTGACATCAGTTAGAGAACCACTGGAAAACCTGGGAGTACTGGACAGCCGTTTCGTCCTAGTTTGGGACTCCTCAGCAGTACGCACCCATCCATTGGACCATTGGATCGGGTCCCAGTGGCTCAATGGTCTACGAGCTCGCCTTGTAACCAGAAGGTCCTGGGTTCGAATCCCGGATGGGTGCGTACTGCTGAGGAGTCCCAAACTAGGACGAAACGGCTGTCCAGTACTCCCAGGTTTTCCAGTGGTTCTCTAACTGATGTCAGCTCATGATTAAATCCTCCATGCAATCAAACAAAATCCCTACAAAAACCAATACTTGAAAATTCATCTGATGCTCACTAGTGACTGGCCCTATTCAGGCAGTTAACCTGGGGTTCTAGTGGGAATCCGTGACCAGTAGGGTACAGCAGGTCGAAGATGAGGCAGTAACTCATCGAAGAAGACATTGCGAAGTGGTCGCGCTATGTCGTGAACTGGCAGAAGTTAGAATTGAAGAACCATTGGATCGGGTCCCAGTGGCTCAATGGTCTACGAGCTCGCCTTGTAACCAGAAGGTCCTGGGTTCGAATCCCGGATGGGTGCGTACTGCTGAGGAGTCCCAAACTAGGACGAAACGGCTGTCCAGTACTCCCAGGTTTTCCAGTGGTTCTCTAACTGATGTCAGCTCATGATTAAATCCTTCATGCAATCAAGAAATTTCATGCCTATGGCTGGCCCAATGTATGTGAAGCGGATTGTGAACTAAGCTTTTGAGCGCAGCATCTTGGAAAACTCGTTTTAAATTGTCTTTGTGACCATTTAACCAATTATCAAGGGACTTTTACATAGTGTTATACAAGAATGCAGAAAGTTAATGTAGGAAATCTAACCTCGATGTGAAATGGGCGTAGTTATTCGCAAACGAAAAAAGCCGTGACAGTGAGGGAAATTTTCTTTTCGACGAATCATTTTCAAGAGTTGCACAGTTGTTCCTTATGTTTAGCAAATAATTCATGGAACCATTCAAATTCTGGTAACTTTGTACTAGAAAATGTATGACGTAATTCCAGTAGTAATCTAGAAGGGAATTATTAAGCGGTGATAAGAAAACGCATGTTGGAATCACGTAATAAGTTTGAAAAGTGACTAGTGAATCTGTAGATTGCTAGTAATGTTGTACATAAATTCAACGATGCTAACTCTACTAAATGAAATTTGCCTGGTGCTCCATAAATCAGTAACGTCTCTGACTGCAGCACTGGGTGATGCGGGTTCGAATCTCAGAAGGGACATGAGTTCTTTCAAGGTTGCAGATACGCCTTGCTGATGAGTGCCAACTAGCACGAAACCTAGGTCCAAGGCTTCCTGCCAATTGCCTCCAGCCATCTAATACCATCAAATCAATGTGCACCGTGATGTCCAGCTACCTAGAATGGTGGCCACATTGCAAACCTGACTGATGAAATTCAGTCTGCACCAAAAAAGGACTAGAAACGTTACACTAGATACTAGTGTCCAATCAAAATCAGTACTCCACCTATATTGTAAGTACAGATGACAGGGATATAAAAAAGAAGTTGAGATAATTCTGAAAATACGGTATACTAACTTATCTTGTTTAAAAGGCTGTACGACTGGCTCAGAGGATGCAACTGTCCCTTAGACAAGCAAAGAGAGTATGTGTATAGGTTAAAAACAAAAGTTCAAACATTCAAGGTACACTACAAATCTAAATAGAAATAGGTTAGTGTTTATATAAAATCTGTGCGAGAAATACAATGACAAGTATAAATAATAATAAACTAAAACAATAAAGTCATGACAAACGTGTTACTCTGATCACAGTAAGATAAGCGAATGTAGTGCTTTTGAACTTAGAAATCTGTTTTCATACCCCGAAAAGCCAGTGATTCGGCTATATATATACATGGCGTATTATGTAGCACTCATTCAGAATTGTCCGATGTCTAGAGTGTTTGAGAACAGAACCACAGGTATTCTTCTTTTCTCCTCTGGCTATTCAGGCTGAACAGCGTTTCAAACTAACTTCGTGGACTTAACGCTATATACGACAGACACGCTCTGCTCCACAAGAGCAAGTAAGCAGATAAATACA